CATATTCGTGTGTTTTCCTGTACTTTCTTCCATTGTTCTACTTGCAGTTTTAGTAAGGGAGTTGCTAGGACTCGAAATGCCAAAGGAAAACCGTGGTAGAATAGAAGACTTGAAGGGTGAGTGAAGGAAGTGAACAAAGATCTTAGTCGGGTGAATATGTTGATTGAAAATTAGAAAATGAAACATAGGCATAGAAACCGTCTGCAAAATAGATATAAGTTCACACAGAAGGGACTTGCCGCTATGACAGAAGAAATATTACAAAGGATAAAGGCTATTACAGGAAAGATAAAAACGATTTAACGATCGGATAAAACAATATCAACAGAATAGGAGATTTCAGAATAATCAAGGAAAAAATTTACCAACAACATGAAGCAAAAAATGTTCCAGACGCAGAAGCAACGAAGGAGTTTTGAGAAGGAATTTGGGCAGTAGAGAAAAAGCACAATGAATCAGCTGAATGGCTAGGGGAATTCAAGAATGAAAGGAGGGGAAACACCTTAGAGTAAGGAAGGTTAAGCATCACAGAAGAGAAACTGCAGCATATACTAAGAAAGATCCCCAACTGGAAAGCACCAGGCCCTGATGGGGTACAAGGATACTGGATGAAAAAATATATATATAAATAAATAAAAAGCATGCATAAAACCTTAAGAAAGCACCTTGAAGAGTGCCTGGAGGATGGGACACCAAATTGGATAAACAAAGGGAGGACCATCTTAATACCGAAAGACAAAGAGAAAGGAAATACCGTGAGTAACTACAGTCCAGTAACTTGCCTACAGCTACTATGGAAACTGCTGACAGGAATAATTGCTGATGAAATACGAACATCTAGATTCAAGAGCAGTGTTACCAGAAGAGCAGAAAGGGTGTAGGAGAAAATCAAGAGGCACGCATGACTTGCCATATATTGATAGAATGGTACTAAAGGAGGTTAAGTAACGACAGAAAGGGCTTGCGATGGGGTGGATAGATTAATGCAAAGCTTACGACATGATCCCCCATTCATGGATTCTGGAGTGCCTGAAAGATGAGGGGGTTAATGAACAGCTCAGACATTTTCTTGGGGAAAGTATGAAAACCTCGCGAAATGAACTAACATGTGGAGAACAAATGCTCAGAGACGTAAAGATCAAGAGAGTAATCTTCCAAGGGGATACATTATCTCCTTTGCTGTTTGTAATGGCGCTGATTACCTTGACCCACATATTGAGGAGGATACGAATTTTCTAAGAGCGGAGAGAAGGTTGATCATCTTTTATTTATGAATGACCTAAAGTTGTATGCGAAAAATGAAAAATCATTGGACTCCTTAATTCAAACAGTTCGGATTTTCAGCACGGATACTGTAATGGAGTTAGGAATAGAAAAGTGTGCTCTGCTAGCGTTGAAGAGAGGAAAGGGAGTTACATCAAATGGGATTAAGTTACCGGACGAGCCTGTGATTAATTCAGTAAAGGATGGAGAAAGCTACAGATAATTGGGGATGCTTCAAGCAGATCAGATAAGACGCCAGGAAATGAAAGATAAAGTTACGAAAGAGTACAAGAGAAGGGTACAGACAATTATGTAAACAAAGCTAAATGGAGGGAATCTCATAATAGGCATTAACACTTGTGCAGTATCACTGCTTAGATATTCAGCTGCATTTCTAGACTGGACTGAAGAGCGAGATAGACAGACAAGGAAACTGATGACAATGCACAATGCCTTACATCCGAAAAGCAATGTTGATAAGATACATTTACAGATGGATGGGGGAAGAAGAGGACTTTTAGGAGTAGAGGATACAGTCAATATAGCAAAAGTTTCAGGTATGCCAACAATAGTACAGAAATGCCACTAAGTTCACCTAGAATCATTAAAGAGGATGAAGCAACTGAGTCGGAAACTGAACTGCAGAAAAGATAGAGAACGGAAAGAAAAGAAAACTGGAAAGAAAAGACACTACACGGACGATTTCTAAGGCAAACTGATGACATCGTTAGCGAGGGCAAGTGGCTATATTCAAAGCAGGGAAACGTGAAGAGGGAAACAGAATCTTTAATCCTTACAGCACAAGAACAAGCAATCCGTACAGATTTGATGAAAGCGAATACTGATACGACTCAGGAGCAAATTCAATGTAGAATGTGCTGAGAAAAGGACGAGACAGTGAACCACTTGATAAATGAGTGTAGGAAGATGGCACACAGAGAGAGTACAAGAGAAGGCCCGATTGGGATGGTTGTAAAAAGTATGGCATCGAAGTGAATGATAAATGGTATCAGCACGAGCCAGGTTCTGTGAGAGAGAACGACAGATGTAAGATTTTATGGGATTTTACAGTGCAGACAGACCATGTTATCCAAGCAAGGCGTCCATATATGCCAGTCATTAATAACAAGGCAAACAAGGCTCAAGTAATAGACTTTGCTATTCCATATGACAGCCGTATGAACAGTAAAGACTTGGAGAAGACTGAAAAGTACCAAGATCTCGTACGAGAACTGAAGAAGCTGTGGGACATGAAGAGAGTGGTCATTCCTATAGTATTGGGGGCACTTGGAAATACCCCAGAGACACTATAGAAGAGAATGAAGGACATTGGCATTAAAACTTTTATACTGCATACAGCAAGGATCCTTAGAAAGGTATTTGAGGTTTGAGTAGTCTTGTTGACATCAAACCCCAAGAAAAAAAATCTTCCATTGACTAGAACAATGTGCGTTATCCTATAATTATAATAATTATGATCATATATATATATATATATATATATATATATATATATATATATATATATATATATATATATATATAATATATATATGCATATATATATATATATATATATATATATATATATATATATATATATATATATATATATATATATATATGCGTGTGTGTGTGTGTGCATGTGTGCGTGCGTGCGTGTGTGTGTGCGTGTGTGTGTGCGTGCGTGTGTACTCGTGTGTGTTTCAGCGCGCGCGATATTAGTAATATATGTGATATGTGTAGCTATGTGGTATGTATGCATGCACATAAGATTCCATCACTTATCTGAATATTTGTTAAGTGCATATAAACCATTAATTTGAAAAATATGTTGTGTTTATTCAGTCGTTCACACATTCACATAATATATAATTTGTAACTGTGTTTGATTATTGTATTTATAAACAGTACAATGAGACCACATGGTTATTGTATCAGCTGTGTTTATCAATGATCTGTCTTTGTCTCTGTTTCTCTTCTTGTTATTATTGCCATTGTTATTATTAATACTCTTATTATTATTATTATTATTGTTATTATTATCATTATTGTTATTATTGTTATTATTATTATTATTATTACTATTATCATTATTATTATTATTATTATTATTATTATTATTATTGTTCTCATTATTATCATTATCATTATCATTATCATAATTATTATCAATATTATCATTATTATTATCATTATTATTATTATTATTATTATTATTATTATTATTATTATTATTATTATTATCATTATTATTATTATCATTATTATGATTATTGCTATTACTGATTACTGATCATTATTAGTATCATATCTATTATAATGATAATCTTTTATCATTGACATTGCTATGAATATTTTAATTTATGTTCTTCATTTATGTCTGACACGATATATTTTGACCATGAAAGATAATGTAAAAGATATCTAATTTATTTTTATTTTTTCGAGTTTTTTTCGAGTTTTCATGTAGCTCTATGCTTTATTGTGCTGAACACCAACCGACAAATTGAACGAAAATAAGTGTAATGGACAAGTAATAGTGGATAAGAACATCGTGATAATTATAGGTCTGTATTTGCGTGTCAAAAAATACTTATATTGATTGTGAAGAAGATATGATAAATAGGTGATGTTAAACAGTAATTCACAGATATATGTAAAGTCGTAAAAAAAATAACGTTGATCACGAAAACAGTAAATAATGTACAATATATCATATACAATATATAATATACAATACATTATAGTGATTATTGTGATAAATATTTTAGGCTTCCTTGTTTTACACGAACGACACTGTTGCCAGATTCCAAACCGCGCACATCTTACTTTTGCATATGAATAATAAGACACAGATGACTCCATATTATATATTATATACCTTGACTATACCCTAATTAACCCCTATTGATAGTATGATATTATTCAACCATCTCAAGTGAGAAAAATAAACCAATATTCGGTAAAAATATCAACAAGGACACGACAAGGGCATCTGGCAACACTACTCACCTGCCACGGAAGAGGTTATGGTAAAGTTCAAAGAAAATTATTTTTTATCCCCATTTATGTGAATTAACACCCTTTTTACGGGATAATTTCCCTTCCTCGCAACGAAATCGAGTCGCGTAATCACTCCGGATACGAGAAAGACGGTAAGAAGGGAAGGATAATTCTTATTTCCCTTTAGAATTGAGGGGAAATAAAGGGACACGAAAGGGAATATTGTTATAAAAAAAGAACAGGTTTTGGTTGAATTAAAAATAGGTTTGAAAATAATGTTTTTGGGGGGCTGAAGGCATGAGTGATATTGTGAGTAGTGTGAGTGTGAGTAGAGAGAGAGAGAGAAAGATGAGAAATACGTGTCAAGGGAGAGGGAGAGAGAACAGATGTGTGGCTCCTAATGAACAGGTGTGAATACACACAGGTGTTTGACCCCCCACCCCCTCCTAATACCTCCCCCCCCTCTCTAATTCCTCTTCCCTCCTCCTCTCCCTTCCCTCCCTCCTCTCCCCTCCCCCTTCCTCCTCTTCCCTCCCTCTTTCTCCCACCTCCTCTCCGCTGCTCCTCCTCCTCCTCCTCCTCCTCCTCCTCCTCCTCCTCCTCCTCCTCCTCCTCCTCCTCCTCCTCCTCCTCCTCCTCCTCCTCCTTCTCTCCTCCCCCCCCCCTCCCCCCTGTGCCATTGCCACGCAGAGTGAGTTCCACCCTTGGCTGTGCTCAACAGTGGAGGTACG